TTATAGGTACTAAACCGTAATTTGCCAATGAGCCATGGATCCAATCCATGAATCCACCAATCCAATTGGATTTGGATCAAATGGATTGGATTTAAATGGATTGGATTAGGTGGATATTTTTAATGGATTGATGGATTGGATTGGTGGATTGGATTGAAATTGCCACCTCTAAGTCAACAGCTGATTCTTTGTCAAAAAAAAGTCAACAGCTGATAGACGGCTTTGATTGAAATTAAACTTTTCCTATTAAAATTAAAGCAAAATACACTTCTAAATACATAATAACTTTCACGTTTATGACAAATATAGCTACAATTATTAAAAAAATACAAAATAGTCATTTCCATCCATTTCTTTAACGGTGTCAGTTAAGCTGCATAACTAAATTTACGGAAATCTGCGTTGACAATATTTATTCCAACTAGTCCACGTGTATTAAAATAAAAAAATGAAAAAAATAATAAATCTTCTCCCCCAACCTCTCCACTATCTCATCGCCACCCCATCCCCGTCCGTCTCCCACCAGTCCTTCGCCACCACCACCATCTCTCTGTCCACTAGCTCCATAGAATAGAGTGACTCAAGGAGATCGAGAAAACTCTATCACCACTGAGACTTTTGCAAGAAAGCAGTTCCTCCCGATGGATTCCCCATTTGCCCTGCTTCCCTGCCGTTTGAATCTCTATCATTCCGGCCGCTGCTTGAAATTGTCGTCGCGCCGTAACTTTCGTCACATCAGATATAGATCCACAATCGTCGGCGCTTCCTTCCCGTCCTCCGCTTCTTGGCATCATCGTCGTTGGGCAGCGCTCCATCATATCCAGATCCATAAATCCCCCCTAAAAATACATGGGGCTCTAACAAGAGATGAGAATAGCGATCCAGGAGAGAAATCCACACCATTTCTCATCCTCCCCGTCGATTTTAAACAAGTGCCCATTTTTCAAGAGCACTTCTACTATGCTATATAGTATTGGTGCTTTAATGTATAACTTAAAGTTGTACCATAACATTAAATATATAAGTTTAGGTTGTACCATAAAACAATTTGTACCATTATGTTATGGTACAACTTTACAACTTGAAATTGTACCATCACATAATGGTACAAGTTCAAGTTGTACCATAAAAGAATTTATACAAAAAGTATAGGTACAATCTGAAGTTGTACCATAACGTAAATGTACAATTTTAAGTTGTACCATAAAGGCCAAAACCTATAGCACCAATACTATATAGCATTGTAAAATTTCTCATCTTTCAAATGCAAATTCTAGTACCCATCGACCGTCAAACTTCCACTTCATATGCCCCTTCCAATCGCAAAGCCTCCCTCGTCTGCCATAGAAAGAACATCGGGTTGTGTGTACTCACGGATTCGAGCAAGGAATAGTGGCGCCGATTCCCAACTCGTTCACAATTTTGCTCGCAGGTCCGCAGACCGTAGGGGCAGATCGTCGACAACATTGTGGTGGGTTTTCTTGGATTTGATTCTAGGGTTCAAGATGGGTTTTGTTCAATTTCTTGAATTTGATTTACTCTTGGTGGGTTTTGGTGGGTTATCTTCCATTGATTTCTTCGATTTGATTTTTCCCACACTGGGTTTTCTAACCGACGATCAAAACTTATGAGGGGAATAGAAGAAGAAAACGATGAGGGGCGGCAGCAGAAGACGTGGTCGGGAATAGGGGAAAAATTAGGAAAAATATTTTTGGTGTTTTTTTAATTTAAAATAATTATTTTATAACTAAAAAAAGACATGGCAATGATATAATGACTGGTCGCTGATGTGTGCGATGATTTAGCATCCTAGTTAGCCTAACATTAATCTAATTGGCGGAGTTTCTAACACCATTAAAGTTTCTAACGGTAATGTCAAGATTTGTCACACTACCATCCCATTTTTGGGCTATTTTGTATTTTTTTTTTATAGTTGTGGCTATATTTGTTACAAACGTGAAAGTTGTGACTATAGAAGTGTATTTTGCCTAAAATTAATAATATTCTGTCACCCTTATAACAAAAAATGTACATATGATGATCTATGACAATTGACAGTCTTATATAACCTGAGAGAAGTGAGAGAAAGACGCGGGAAAAGGGAAAACTAACCACATGCCTAAGTATACTCTAACGAACTTATCCAATTACATATTGATACCTACACTATACTAATTACATCAATACAATCCAATATACTTTTACAAATTGATCCTATTTCCTAATACCATAGCAAATTGATATCACGGAATTTCCCTTTGCAATGCTTTATCATCCACAACATAAATGGACTAATAATAATTTCTTTTGTAAAAAAAGTGCATGAGATAACCTAATTAGGCCATCGGGCTCTTTTCGACCTGAATGATGATAGGACGATCGACTATTTATGTGGTTGGAAATTAAAGAGCGTCAACAATAAATAAGACACTCGAGAGTCGAGAGAAAACTAATGGGTAAAAATAAAACGATTGTATATTTGAAAAGCATGCAAGTACAATTATAGTTATCAAAGTCGTAATTTTAAAATACAATCATATAACCAATACATCAGTTTACTTTTCTTTTATTATAAATGAATGCAACGCATTCTAACTTTCATCCACAACAAGACGAGGATCAGAGAGACCTTGACAGCTTACAAGGTGAAGTGAAACAAAACAGGATCAGAAACTTAAACTAGATGAAAACCCAAAGACTGAGAATGACCACGACTAGTTAAGTATTCAGCACTTCATGGTAGATATGGGAGATAAAGACTTCCCAATTACGAGTAAGTAAATCCTAGAATCAATTAATGATGGCAATATGATGAATCCATCGAGACTCTGCATGAGTTGGATCGAGCATTTGGAATCTAGTTCCATGCAGACGTGACGATAACCACTATCCCAACCAGCTGAAGATCTTCTTCAACGCCTCTCAATTCCGCTTAGGTGATGGAACACATTCCCAAGTTAGAAGCAAATTCTGCAATGCAACATCCAGTAAGATCTTTAATCAAACCACCAACCGCTGTGTTGCCTGAATCAGTAACGACGGAGTCGTTTGAATTAAAAGTAACTCACTCGACAGATGATGGTTTTCATGTGCCAACACATCAATTTATAATCAATGACGGATCTAGGGGTTCAGGCCACGGCCCAGTCCTCCTCCGGGTCTGAAGCTAATATAACACTTATGAATTTATCGATTTTAGACATTCGAACTAGTGTTATTATATAATAAGTTTGTGTGTAACTAGTAAAATGGTTCAGATGAACATGTTCAAATCACTACTCTAAATGTAACCTTGAAATTCTAGCTCCAATGATTTTCCTTTGAAAAAACAATGAAACCTAAGATTCTAAAAGTCTAAAATGTGAAAACTAAATGGAAGATGAGGTTTGTTTCCTGGTAAAATTACTAGAGAAACTGGTGGAAACAGGGATGAACACAATACAAGTTGACTAGTCGGTGATTCGTCTAGTGTTGACGTTGTGTGTTTCAACGGCTACTACGAAGATAACCTTTTCAACAATGAAACATGTGAAAACTGATTTGCTTAACAAAATGAGCGATTAATTTCTCGCTGATTGCTTAACTATTATATTTGGAAGAGAGTATGCTAATGGTATGGATGAAGACTCTATTATTGACGAATTTGTTAAATTAAAAAACCATTGTGAACAAGTAACATTGTAAAGCAATAATGATTATTTTTTTACTATATCTAATTCTCTAATAAAATGTGGTCGAATACTCTACTATCAACTAGATCCGCCGTTGTTTATAATGTATGCATTTATAGAAATAATCTATACTAATAATCAATTTTAGCAATCGCCAATACCAAACGAGCTCTAAAGGATTGATGGGTTAATAATGTGTTTGCGTGGACTAAAGGACGAGTGTACGAAATACATTATAACATTGTATGGATTGTATGGCATACGAGCTATTTACGTCAGCCATCTACAAGTGAAATAATAGGATTTATGGCCTCTTCTTCCTCCACATTTATTGCAATGCCCTCACAACCAGAAGGAAGAACAAGAAGATTCCAAACAAATCTTGCGTTGCATGGGCGGGAAAGAATTGCTAGTTTCTTTTTAAACCCTTTTCTTTTGTGTTATTTACTTATTTTTCTCCCCTCTCGAAAAGAAAATAATAAAAAATAAGAGTTATGGAGCATATCAATATATGTTGGCATGTTGCGCCTCGTTGTTATTTGTTAGCCTATTTCGAGTAGGGATTAATTGGGCTAAGTTTGGTTTTGCTATACATTTTTTAAAGCAGTTTTCTCGTAGGTTTTAGAGAAGTATTTTAAAATTAATCTCATTTGAATTATTTTATATTAATAATATTATTTTTAGTTATCAATGATATAAGGGGTTAGGGTGACAACTCTTTTTTTGTTAGCATGGTGCTAGCTAACACTAGCTCCAGCCAATGAAAATATTTTGTTTAGATGAATTTTTCATTTAAATGTGTTGACCACAATTAATGAGGAGAAGAGAAAGGAGGGGCACGCTTGGTATTATGAAAAATTGGGAAAGGGGAGGTTGGAAGAAAGAGGGATCACGAACCATGCCACTTCACCCAAGCATGTCACAAACTCAAAGCATGCTACAACAACCTCAAAGCATGCCACAACCTCAAAGCATGCCACAAGTAGTGGACCTTTTTGTAAATTTGAGAAGTTTAGGCACCAAAATTTCAAGCACTAGAATATAATTTTCCAACCATATTTTTATGACTCGAATAAAAAATAATAATTGTAGGTAGGGCGGTCAATTCGGTTGCCGGTTAGCGGCTAACCGGCCGGTCTAACCGTTAACCGCCGGTTAGCGGCTAACCGGAAACCTAAAAAATAGAGTGGCGGTCGGTTGGCGGAATGGGTCAGTGGTGGCGCGGTTAGCCGATAAACCGAAGCCGGTTAACCGGCTAACCGACCGAGATGAAACGACGTCGTTTTCCCCTACTCTTAAACACACCCATTCCCCCCCCCCAAACCCTAGCTGTCGCATTCGTTCTCCCTCAACCCCCCAACCGACTCCCCTGCGCCCCGCCACCTCTCCTACGCCCCGCCGCCTACCCACGCCCTTGGCCGCCACCCCATCGCCGTCCAGTCCGCCGCCGCCACGCTCCACAACCTGCTCGTCGTCGACTCCTACCGCCCCATCATCGGATCCAAAAGGGACATCGCCCCCGAAATCGCCGCCACGGTCGATCAAGGACGCGCTCAAGGCCCTGTTCGGCATCGCTCTGTACCAGCTGAATTGACGGATCGGAGTCGTCCCGCCGCTGTTCTCACTGGTGCTCAAGGACGGAGGGTCGGGATCGTTGAGGATGCGACGACGGTGATCGCTCAGATCGCCGGGTGCGAGTAGAGCGAGGCGGAATTCGGCCGGGTCTCTGGAATCGGGGTGTTGGTGGATCTGTTGGACGTTGGGACGGGTTCCAGTGGTGTAGGGTTAAGGAGAACGCCATTGTTGTTCTGTGTTTTCTCAGTAGCAGAGAGGAAGGAGAGAGGAGAAGAAGAGCGAGAAGAAGGAGAAGGAGAAGAAGATCAGGTGGAAGAGGAACAACCGATTAAATTGGGGGAGGGTTTTGGGCAGGGCTGTCATTTTGGCTTGCCCCGGTTAAACCGCACATAAACCGAAAACTGACCGGTCGGTTTGCGGCTAACCGGGGCTGATGGGACGGTCGGTTGACGGTAGGCATTGGTCATGTCTCGGTTTAACCAAAAATCGAGATTTCGGTTTTCGATTAAACCGAAACCGACCGGCTGCCACCCCTAATTGTAGGTACTAAATATTAATACCTATTAAGTTCAGGTGCCAAAATTGTAATTTGTTAATGAAACATAAAAAAACAACGTAAATGGAAGGAGAGGAGAAGGGAAGGGGAAGGGCCGAAGGGGAAGGGTGAAAGCATAAATACTGTAATACCCTTAATAATGTGTTAGTATGGTGCTAACACTTAAGGGTGTTAGCACCCTATCCACTCCCAATTCAAGCCTATTAGAAAAAATGATATAATGAAAGAAAAGTACATATTTAAAAAAGATAAATAGGGTATAAGGATAATTTTGTATTTTAAAATACTATTTTACTGAAGTTTTGAATCGGAGCATCCACTTCTATGTTATAAAAAAAATACTTTTCACCTTTTTCAAAACGCAAGCTTATAGAGGCGTTTGACCAGATTTCAGTTTTGGAAATACAAAAACACTTTTAAAAGTCGGGCTAAACATAACATTGTAAAGCTAAGTGTAAAATCAGAACTTCTCTTTTTATATGGTAGACAAAAAAATTCAGTTTTTTTAAAAGTCGGACTTATAGAGGTATTTTGTTTGAATTTATCTTTTGTAATACAAAAAGCACTTCTAAAAGTCATACCAAATATGTATTGTAAACTAATTAAATTATTACAAACATAATCTTAATTTGATTAATTAATTAGAAGATAAATTCCTAATATACTACAATAGTGGGTCTATATATAAAGGAATTGACCCTCCCTCGATTGTTTGGAGGTCGGGACTTTCCAAATTGAAGTATTTAATCAATTTGTGTATTGTAATTTGATGTATTGATGAAATGTATGAATTTAAAAAATATATTGTTTGGAGGTTTACATTGTGCTTTGTTATAAATGAAAAAAATAGAGCGTAGACAATTCCCTGGGCACAATCTCACCTTTTGATAGAGATTGATAATCACTCATTTTGAGTGTTTGTGGGCCCAGAAAAAGGTCATACATGTAGTCTGTCATAAATTTAACCAAAAAAAGAGAGAGTTAATCTTGACATTACATGCATTGACTAAATCCATCGCTTGAAATCACAACCTCCAAACGACCCCTAAATCTAAAATTTAAAAGAGTCGAGAGGAGAAATTGAAAATTACCGTGATTATTAGGGATGCCAATGGTTGGGGGCGAGGTGGATAGTGCATATCAGTTACCAAATCCAAAGTATTTTGAATGTTACTCATACCCATACCCACATAAAAATTGGGCAGAAAACCAAAACCATGTTCATACTCGTTTGGGTTTTGGGTATCCATGGTTATCCATGGATAATAATTTTCCTTTATAACTACAATCAATATGCTAACATTAACATGTATACTCACATTACATAAAAGAAATAGTACGACAATAAATCACTAAAATTATTAAATTAATTAAAATAACACAATTTCATGAAATATTATATTTGTATGCTACAGAATTATAATGATTATATATTATGCATATATATAATATATATGCATATATTATGCATATATATATATACATATATATATATATATATATATATAAAATACATATGCATATATATAATTATATATAATCGGACGAGTTCGGGTTGGATAGTGAGAAAAGCATTCCCGCCCTTTACCCGAAATATTCGGGTTCGAGTTTTATCCACACCCACTAAAAATCTTTCAGTTCGAGTTTTACTCTACCTGAATAGATCGGATTCGAGTGAATATCCACTATTAAGGATATTATTGCCATCCCTAGTGATTATTGTTCCTTTTCTCTTTTCACCTTAGAAGAGATTGGACAATTGAACCTAAGAGAAGGGAGACACGATCCACTCAAACGGGAAGGTAGATAGTAAAAAGAAAATTGAGGTTTCAAGCAATCCCCTGCAGTGGAGTACGTACTCCATCACTCGTGCATATGTATACATTCACTTCATCTCATGTGGTTTATATAATCTTTTGTCCACCGGTTCTCTTTTTGGGAGAATCCAAAAAAGTGAATTCCACGGTGTCTCTAGAGGAAACGGATCAGGTCAGTAATTTTATTGTGAGTAACTATGAGCAACCCGTCCACATCAACTTGACATCAGTATCCCTCTCTCTTCTAGAAAGTCTTTAATTTTTCCCTCCTTAATCTTTGACGGACGATTTCTCACTCGTTTTAAGTTGAAATTTAATTTTTTTGCACAGTTAGATCAAATTAATTGTGCTTTTCAAAATGATATCCATTTTGATATATTTTTCGAACAAAAAAAATTGAGCCATTTTTTACTAGTCTATACCATATGGTATTGACTGGTATTGAAATAAGAGCATACATATGGTTTGAAAAGCGTACCATGATGGTATGAACAAACCAAGACTGTAGGATGATTGAATACATGATAGTAGAAGTATATTAACTATCATTTACGACTTTTAACATTGTGTACCACAAGATACCACCCTGTACCAGGGTGGTATTGTATGGTATTGTGTGGTATTTTTCGATCATGTATTTGTTCATCCAGAAATTTGTAGATCCAATAGATCATGATGAACTCGTTCTTTCTGTGCAAACGTTTTCAAAAACGAATTAAAAACGAAGAAGATACCATATGGTATGCAGTTGGTACAGAGAGGCAAATTTTTTTTCTAAAAAAATATTGTATCTCATTTTGTAAATATGAGCCATACAACGAACACGTTCCATCTGTGCAAAAAAAATTAAAATTCGAGTTAAAACCAAGAAGATATGAGCCGATTAAGAAAACTAAGGAAAATAAAAATGACATTTAATTCTTCATTATTAGATCTGGATTTTCTAAATAAAGAGTCCAAATTTAGTTATTGATGAGTGCATAACCCATGAGCAGTCTCTAAATTACCATATATGCACCAAACCTTCTTTTTTTTCTCTTCCTAACGTCCAAGTACGTACGTAAAATAAACAAAACATTAAAACGTAACATTCTACTCTTGACTGCGTCACCCACCTAACCTGAATTATAGATGTTGATCTCAATCAACTTGAAAGTCAACCATGTAAAAACAAACTTATAATATTATAGGCGAAGACTTGGTATGTATATGTCAGCAAGTAAAGACTTGGCATAAATGAAATGTTAGCGAAGTGGGTAGAAGTTAGGTAACCAGTTCGCGGAGCGGGAGCGAGAGCGAGAGCGGGAGCGGGAGCGTGAAAGCGTCTATTTCAGGAGAATTAGATATTGAGAGCGTGTACGGAGCGTGATTATTATATTATTTTATTAAAATTTTAATACATATTAGTTTCAAATGAATAAATAATTCACGGGTAAAATTATCTCCAATACCATTAGTGTTAAGAAAGGAAATTTAAAATATGTTATTATATTAGTATTTTATAGGAGAAAGTTATTATTATTTTATTCATTTGTTTAATATATTTATTTATATTTTCCTTTTTATTTCTTATGCCCTTTACTCTCTCTCACACATACGGGCAGCCACCTATGACCTAACCCAACTCCATCTTTCTCTTCAATCTTTATTCCCCAACACAGAGGAAGCAATTCCCTCTGTTTTCCCCAAAGTTTCTTTCGCAGAGTCTCACTCTCCAGTCTCCATGCAAGCGGTAGATGCTTCTTCATTTACCCTAATACTAAAACAGGTAAATTAATCGAACGATTGGGCTCGTATTGTGACTAATTTTATGGGCAGAAGAAGAACGACGAAATCGGCAGGCTGTGAATGCATGGTGCCGGTGAGGAAGGTGATTGAACAAAGGCCTCTGTCTCTTTGTTCTGTACTCTTGTTCTTTCCAATTTCAACTATGATTCTCCCGATCTTTGCTAAGATGATTAGCCTTTGAATTGGTTGCCATCATTCTTTCTCACTTCGTCGGCCAGACAGCCACTCTCATCCATCAGCGATGTCTTCGCATATATTTTGTTGTTGGATTTCTTAGGTTTCATACCAAATCAAGCTTTCGATTCTAATTTATAGTTCCTGCTTTCATGTTTTAGAAAAAAGAGATTAGTTCGTTGACGATTCGCGTTCTTCTGAAAATAATTCGCGCTCCCGTGAAATACAATTCGTGAATTTTGTACGATCTGCGGGAAATTCGCGAATTGGCGCTTTAGAGCGGGAGCGGTGAGGTTGGATAGACGAATTAGGTAACCTAAGGTAGAAGTTGTAAAATCCTTATTAACCCAACTGCCATCTTATCAGGAGATAGATGTGAGTAGTAGACGACAATCCCCTTCTAGTGTGCTCATGAAGAACAACAAGGATTGTCAACTATCTCAATGATCAAAATACTACACTCTACCACATCAACAAATCTAAAGAAAAAAAAATTTGACATCTTGTTGATGATCACTATCTCAAAAATACTTTAATGAAAGAGATGACAAAGATTAGAAAAACCAAATCAAGACCTGAGTTTTACTTAAGGTAGTTTAAAACACGATGTGCAATATCTGTAAGTGCACATCAGATAGATAAGCCAATAGGAGGAATCGTCTTTGATCAACTGTACATTTACATTGGCGTACAAATATACACCACGAACTCTGACAATTGATTCTATTATTCTAATACTAATATGTATATGACGGGGTCAATGTCCTTCATCTTAAATATATTATATCCAA